AAGTGATAACAGTTTTGAGAAAAAAAATTTTCTTTCAACAAGTTTTGAATTATGAGAGCCTCCTCCGCCTGGTTTGTCCTGGTGCTGGCCATGGTGGAATGGTGGCTGCCGCTCACACAGGCATCCGGGAGTCTGGAAGGTGGGTGAGATTTTTCTGACCTCACTAGTGGGGTGGGGGAGCTCCAGAGCTAAGCACAACGGAATAGCTGCCATTGGGCTTCATTTCCACTGGTGTTGCTAGGAAAATATTCATCGAATACTTCTTAGTGTAGGTTATATTCGTAGCAACAACGCTTATTTGATGCATGGTTGTATCTAAAGTCCCTGATTCCTAAAGGGGAGATAAATCCCAGTCGCCCTCCCTCGTTTGTTTAAATGGTAGTGAAAACTGGCTGTACTATGTTTTGAGCAATAGGAAGGTTTATAATTTCTGTCACAAAGAAAATAGCATATAAGCAAGGTTGTCCTCTGACTTGTAAATGTTTAGAGCAAACTCGCTTATGTACAAAGCAGCTAGAAAAGAATGAGAATCTTGCCAAGATGTGATCATGGTGCAGGATTAAGTATTTATAAAAATATGTGCAGCTTGGCAGTGTCTGTCCTTCAGATGGGACAGGAGTGCAGATGCTCTGCTGTGAGTGATGGGGAAAAACGACACAGTGTTTGGTTTGGAAAAGGGAAATGTATAGTGAATATGAGGAAAACATTCACCAGGGAAACTTGGGCAGTGGTGCAATCGATCGTTTAGGGTTGTCTTGGAGGTGTTATTATTGTCATAAAACTTCAGGCTGAGCTCTTGTTTAAATTGGTAACTTTTTGTATGGGTAGCTAAAATTGTTTATTTTCAAAGAAGTTTTTAAGTATCTTTCAACTTCTATACTTCTACTGTTGTTGCTTCCCTTTCATTTTATGAAATGAGCCAGATTTATTCAGTCCCCTTCTCTCCCTTCATTCTTTCCTTCTTATTTTCATTCATTTAAAAAAAAAGTCTTGCATGGACTATCATTATATAACTTGAAATAATATCCTTGTGTATCTTTCTCTTGACTTAGTGGCTTTAAATTATATCTATATGCTTATGAAAAATAAGGAAATTAAAATACTGCCTTCATTTTTACCCTTTCTTCTCCACTCTATGTTCTAATTATTGCTTGATACATTATAGGGTTTTTGTTGTAATAATTGTGACGTTTGCATTCTATCTTGAAATATAATTAAATATCTTATAGGCTGATAAAGCTTAAAAATATATTTTCAGAGCTTTATAATGTTATGATGTATCAATAGCTTTCACAGTATAAATATTAGAGACAGGAAATATAGTGCTATGATATTGAAACTTTTCCCACTGGAGAATTTTCTAATCACTAGTGTCTAATAGATCTTCCATTTGTTTCTAGTTGTATTCTCTTCTTCATGTTTACAGCCAGTTGCTGTGATTTCTGGTATTTACACTGACATTTGCCTGGATACCTTTCTTGTTTTTTAGAGGGAGAATTTTTCATAGGGTTTCAGAGAAAATTTTCTGAGCCTTGCATGTATGTTCTGAAACATTTTTACTCAGGTATCACATTTGATTTTTAGTTTAGATGGGCATAAACTCCTAGGTTCAAAATCTTTGTCCATCTGGTCTTCAAAGCCATTATTCTACTTACTTCTCTCATTCAATACTGATGATGGGAAGTCTGGCACCAGTCTGAATCCAGTCTCTTCTCGGGATGTTTTTGCAGTTTTCTCTTCACTGTTGGCACTTATATCAGTGTTGTAGGGCTGCCATAACAAATACCATAACCAGATGAGTTGAAACAGCAGTTCTGGCGGGTAGATCTCTGAAATCAAGGTGTCAGCAGCATCAGGCCCTTTCCCAAGACTCTAGGGATGAGTTTGTGCCTTTCTCTTAGTTTCGGGTGTTTGTTGGCATTTCTTGGCTTGCAGCTGCACGAATCCAACCTTTACCGCCCTCTTCACATGATGTTTTCCCCTCTGAGTGCGTCTGTCTCTCCCTCCTTTCCTTGTGTAGTCACCAGTTCTATTGGATTAGGGATCCACCCTAATTTTGTGTGACCTTGACTCAACTTGATTACATCTGCAAAGACCTTGTTTCCACATAAGGTCACATTCATAGATGCCAGTGAATGGAACATCAACGTGTGTTTGTGTGTATTTATTTATTTGGGGGGCCACAATTCAACCCATAACAGCATTGTAAAATTTTACTGGAATATGGCCAATATGCCTGTTTAATCCTGCTTAACATATAGTCGGCCCTTTCAGTCTAGTGACTTAACACCTTTCTTCAGCCTGAGAAAATTATCTTTTATTATTTGCTTAGTCATTTCTTTCCTTCTATTGTCTCTCATATTTCTTTCTAAATCTTGTATTTGTTAGATATCTCACTTCCTGGATTTGCTCTCTTTATTTCATATTCTCACAGTTTTATTTTCCCTTTTGATCTTTATGTTTTGTGTTCTAGAGGATTCCTTGTCTTTTCAAGATTATCACCTTGGTCTTGGTTCCCCGCTTTTTCCTTTTCAGCCAATTTCTGGAATGTTTATTTTGGCAATCACAATTTAATTCCCAAGATTTCTTTCTTTATTCTGATTTTCTAATTTTTTGCATGCAGTATACCTTGAATTCTTTGAGGACAGTAATTAGTATTGTGTCCTTCCCTGAATCGTGTCTGTTTTTACTGGGGCCAGTTCTTCTCGATGCCCTTGGTTTTCCCTGTGAGTCTTGGTGGTATGTCTGCAGTTAGGTAGGTCTGTAATGACTGGCATAAGTTTGCACTGCAGTTTTGAAGATGTGTTTCTCTCCCTCCCTCCCTTCCTCTCTTTGAATACAGCATTTATTTGTCTTCCCCCTGTCAAGCCCTGAGCCAGGCTACCTGGGAGGAATAGGAAAAGACACAGACAGGGCAGACAAGTCACAAGAGGAAGAACCATGGGAGGTGGCAATGGCTCCTTCACACAGTGAAGAGGATGGGAAAGGCCACCATCAGGCAAAAGAGCCCACTGGCCTCCGAGAGGGCAAAGCCCAGAACGGCACAGGGGAGGAGCTTCGGAGAAGGGTTCCAGGACTAACAGATGATGAAGCTCTCAAACACAGCCCTGATTCCAGCCCCAGAGCCAGCCACCCTGACTGTGGCAGCCCCAGCCCCAGCGGCCTTGGCTGCTGGTTAGATGGCACTGGCCTGAAAACTGCAGCTAGAAATAAGTGGGGGCAGGGGACATGGGGCTGCCAAGCTGCTGAAGCTGTCACGTGTGAGCATCTCTGGTTGTTTCAGCATTACTGCAGACAGTGGCCAGCTCAGCAGCTGAGAGGTGCTCCTGGATGAGGGGGCTGGGGACAAACTTGGTGTAGGCACACTTTTTTAGGGGATGAGGAGCTGTGGCAGGAGAGCTGCTCCCAGTGCAGAGAAGACAGAAATTGAAGGTCTGTTTCTCTACTTACTAACATTCTCATATAAATGACAGGGCTGACCCAGAGGGAGGGGCTGTGTAAACGATACTCAGGCTTCCTTTGGGTGTGTGTTCATGTGTGTGTGTGTGTGTGTGTTTGTGTGTGTAGCTGAAAGACAGTCTGGGAATACCAACAAGTGTTCAAATAAGCAGGGCTTTGCTCAAGGGGTTGGAGTCCTCTGTATCTGGACGCTGCCAGAAGCTTTTTCTGGAGCCACCTCTTCTTTCTCTCCCATTCCCTCTTCATTTCAGTAAGATCTTTGGAGTGACTTCAAGCTCTATGCCACTTCTCTATCAAGTCCTAACACTTCCTTCTCTCCAGGCAGATACTCCACTTTCTGGAGAGAACATTCGTAGTTTCCTAACTTTACCCTCTGAGTAAAACCCACTTGTGCCAACTGCTCTGTTTGTGCTCATCCGAGGGAGGAGGGCCTTCGGTCTGCAACTGTTCAGATGCTGTTCTTCAGCGACTTCCCCGGATGACTGCCCCAGACCTGTCAGCACTCTTGGTGGTGGTTGGCTCTTTGCCTAGGAAGACCTGTTCTAACTTGAGTCTCTTCTCTTGCTTCTCTGATGGACTAAATCGACCATCACTCTACTTGCAAAAAGGCCTCAATATTTCTGTTTCCTCATGGCAAGCATTTTCATTTTTTAATATTGTCATATAAGTGTGATAAAATATAAATTTCAGTTGATTTGGGGGAAGTAGGACATGTTCTGTGTGCTATTTTCCAAAGCAGAATTTTTATGATTTTAACTTCAAAAATTTATTTCTTTCAGGTATTTAAGCCCTTAAAATTCTACATGTATGTGCATGTGTGTACACACATAAGTACACACTGATTATATTAATGGATGGACTGGCAGGATTTTCTTATGTGTTTTCTTTCTGCTTGCTTGTTTTCCTTGGCACCTGGGAAGCTACAAATTTGCATGGTTGTTATACAGGTTTTTTCTATAGTGATGCTGTACAAAGTACAATTCAAACATTAATCATACAGAAATCGAATAAGTTCTTGAATGTTTAATGAGACCACATTAATAATTGGTCCTAAAGTAGAAATAATTTTAGATAAAAAGCTTTTGTAGTTATATAAAATAATTTAATGGATGAGTTTAAAGATTTGATGCTTTTTTTAAACTAATTTCATTGAGATATAATTAACATAGAACATTATATTAAGGTATACAGCATAGTGATTTGCTATAAGTATGTATTAATAATAATAACGATGGGTTTGGGGGGAATAGTGAGGGGAAAATGCAGACAACTGTAATTGAACAACAATAAAATAATAAAAAAAGAAAAATAACAACCATTATAAATTTAGTTGACATCTGCCACATAGAGATGCTTTTTGATGAAAACTTTTAAGATCTACCTTTTAGCTACTTTAAAATGTACAATACAGTATTGTTAAGTCCCAGAATTTATGTATCTTACATTTTTTTCTTTATTCTTTGTTTATAAGGTTATTTTGATAATGTGTAAGAAACTTTAGTTAGATTAAGAGGAAAATATGTAAAATCTTTCTTTTTCAGCAAAGAATCGTGGAATTGCTATTCCAGTGGATTTGGACAGCCAAGTTAATACTCTTTTCATGAAGAGCCATTCAAATATGGTGCAGAGAGCGGCCATGGGCTGGAGACTGTCAGCTCGCTCTGGGCCGCGCTTCAAGGAAGCTCTTGGAGGGCCTGCCTGGGATTACAGAAATATTATTGAGAAGTTACAGGTACAGTGCTACCATGAAATGGCATTACTATTGTCCAAATTATGTTTTCAAATATGTGTCATTACATAAACAAAATATAGTTGAAAATGATCAAATTCTAGTTGGAGACCAAGCTTTACGTTATAATTTCTTACCAGTCATATTGAATTACCAGTCATATTGAATTTGTACGACCCGTATAAATTCATTTTGCCTTAATTATCTCTGTAAAGACCCTATGTCCAGTTACAGTCACATTAGGAAGTATTGGGGGTTAGAAACTCAATATGAGTTTTGAGCAAGACATACTTCAACCTAATACAGACATCTTCCCACCCATGTGATTATAGAGAATTTCATGGAAGCAAGTCAGGGTATGGTGTTGCAGAAATGGTCAACACATGAACTGGAGTAAATATTATGATAGGTCCCACGTAGATTGATTGGTGGAGGTTCAGAGTTTTAATAGATGAGCATTAATGTGATTAAAAAGACAAGTTAGGCTTAATGTGAGGAACTCAAAGGCTATAGGTCATTAAAATTAGGGGGGGAAGTGCTGTTATATGTGATTAAGCAGCTATTGGTTTGCAGGGCAGGATTATCAGGAAGAGACTAAAGGAAGGCAGATTAGTTAAGAATGACTGAAGATCTCAGCTATGTAGTGACATGAATGAAATGAAACAGGTGTTACATGCAATAGTGAAGGCAGGGTCAGCAGACTTGGTGCTGGTGGATGGAGACGGAGGAGGTGGGAGGCATTAAAAAGGGACTGATAATCAGAGATGAGGTGATATTATTGTCTCTTTATTGTAAGAGGCAAGGAATTTATATATTATTTTTATAGTATATCAAGGAATTTCTCCATTGGAAGAAATGGTTAGTTCTGGATTACCAATGACACATAGAAAATGTTTTCTTTTTCAGCTCTCCTGCAGGCATGCTCTACTTTATTCCAATTCGATGAATACCTGTCATCTCTCCATTATAACTAAACACTGTAAGGGCTGTAACAGTGATTTTATTGACTTTTCATCTTGTGTGTATGTCCTTAGAAGTTATATAAGTTACCCACTCCTCCCTTATCTTATAAATAACAAAAGAGACCCAGGCAGCATTGATAGAGAACACCAGACTGTACTTAAAGCACAGGCATCAGTGCCATGGAAGGCGGGGGGCATCATCTTCAATGACATTCCTACGTCTCATTCCTGGGTAGTATTCTTAGGCTTGTCACATCTTCAAAGGATAGAGTCTGATTTAGGTCTTCACATGGGTTCTCTTTTGCTTTTTTCTTTAGGATGTGGTGGCCTCCTTGGAGCAACAGTTCAGCCCGATGATGCAGGCTGAGTTCTCAGTGTTGGTTGATGTGTTGTACAGTCCGGAGCTCCTGTTCCCTGAGGGGAGTGATGCAAGGATCCGATGCGGTGCTTTCATGTCCAAGTAAGTGACCGCAGTCTGTGATGCTGCTAGTGTTTCCACACTGAGCTGGCCTCTAAGATTCCTGCATTTTACTCTGCTGGCAGGTGACAGTCCCCAGAGTGTGTCAGAGGTCTAAAATCCATGTTAAAATATCCTTCCAAAATAGCTAATTTGATTTGATTAAAAGTCATCGAATTTTACTACAATTTACTGAAAGTGAAATGTGTCATTGCTGGGCACAAAATATCACATCAAATAATGTTTTGGTTCTGATGCCTTTCTATACCTATATGGCGTGTGACCTTTAAAAGGATTTTTATCTAAAGTCACCAATTTTCATTAACATAGAAAGCAAATGGCGCTGACGTTTATTGAGGCCTTGGTATTGCCCTGTGTGTGTTTACCTATTTTATCTAATCCACACGGACACTCAGAGACTGAGAGGTCAGCCTCATTGGAGAGGGGAGAACACCGAGACTCATATGTGCTTCAGGTAAAGAGCTGTTCGGTGTCAGACTCAGGACCTTGCCATGTTGTCCTTTGCAGCATCTACTTATTTCTCACAGCATTTTTGTGGCATCGTCAGATCTGTTATAGCTAATATGTTTATTCTAGACTATTTCACTTTAATAACGCTAAGTGATAAATTTCAAGGAAGATCTGCAAATATAAGCAGTTGTGAGAAAAAGTAAAACTAGCCTCAGAAAGAAGAGACACATCTTATCATGGAGGACACTTCATTGAGTGGTTTGCTAGTGATCCCTTGTAGGTTCAGGATGGCTAGTCCTTCTTGGGGAGAGTATCTGGGTGGAGAGTTGGTTGAGGCTGCCAACCGCCTTGACTATCACCCATCACAGCTAGTTCCTGGGTGGTTGAGGATATATGGCAATTGCTGAAAGAGGTCTCAAACCTTTTCTATTGACTGTGATGTACCAAGGCAGAAAGAGAAGGACTATGGGACACAAGCAGTGTGTTCATTTCTTTTACCAGTGAAAGCTGGGATTTGGAGAGAGAAAACAAGATATGGGATGAGAAGAACGGCCTACAGGGATTATGCCGAAGAATAGGTGGAGTGTCTACATTATGGACAGAATCATGGATTGCTGGCTGTAGACCCACAATATTTTAAGGGACTAAGAAGAATGTGTCTGGACATTTGCCAGCTTTGGTTCATGTGTTGTACACTCCAGAACTGTTCTAATTCTTAGTAGAAGATTTAACCAGTCTTCAAATAAGAATTTTTATATCAGGAGGTCCAGAGTGTATACAAAACTGATAACTTTGGAGGCCATTACAAAGAAAATGAAGTAGAGGTGTTGCCTAGTAATCTACTATAAAAATAGGGTCCTTGAAAATTGCCTTCACCTCCTATGAATATATATTGATTTTTAGAATAAGGGTTAACAAGTAGGTAATAAACCTGAGAATTTTAACTCTAGGAAATAAAATGATGCTACTAACAATATGGAATGGGGGCTGGCACACTGTGGCCTGTAGGCCAAACTGGTAACCTTGATTATTTTTGCAAATCAAGTTTCATTGAAATACAACCACACACATTCATTTATGTATCATCTGTGGCTGGTTTCATACTGCTATTGTAGAGCTGACTAATTGCCTCATCTGTATGGCCCATAAAGCCTAAAATATTTACTATTTGGCCCTTTAGAAAAAAAGTTTGCTCAATGTCAAGAATGAAGCTGTCAATACAGTAGCTATACATAGCGATTTAAATGAAAACTTAAAAGTAATTAAAATAAAAATAAGCAGTTTACTTCATGAGTCACATTTGCTACATTTTAAGTGCCCAATAACCAGATGTGGTTAGTGACTGGCAACTTTGATAGCACAGATACAGAACAATTCCGTTATTACAGAGAAAGTTCTGTTGGACAACACCGCTCTAGAACATAAAGATACAGGTCCTGAGAAGATGATATAAAATAACTTTGAGTATCAAGAAATACTGACCTGTGCTCAAGGTGAGGAAAATCTGTTGCAACTTCAGGAAAAAGGTATCTCACTGACTTTAGTGGTTAGAGAAGAGATTTTTGTACTGTTACAGTTGGGTTATGGGCCAGAGGCTCAGGAATGTTTGTTTCCTGCCCTAGGTCTTATCCTACTCCTTCCTCACCTCTGTGAAGAGCCAGAGGTTTCATCTGCAAAGATATCTATTGAAATTAATTTTATTAATAGCTCTGCAAGGGGTCTGCATTACCATGCAGTGCTCTCTGGTAGAGCTTAGTTAGAGAATATAGTTGAGATCTAGGGCTTGAGTGGGGCTTCCAACTTTCTGAGATGAATTGAATTCTTGAACTGTTGACTTAGCTGGGTCTGCTGGAGAGTGTGAGGGATACATCTGGGGACAGAACCTGAACTTCCATATGTACTTAGTTACCTAGCATGAGAGAGGAGAGAATGAGGGGAGAAGAGTGTAGGTCAATGTGGGCGTCAACCATTAAGGGGTCTGGTTAGGGTCCATTCAAATAGGCACTAGCTCTTCCTTTATGAGGAGAATCTCAGTGTTTTTCAAATAATAACTTAGGGAGGAGAGACAACTATTAATTTAGAAAATGAATGAGGAAAGAACATAACATCATCAGAGTGCATCTCATGTAGTAAAGGTAACTTTTGTGTTAGTTTTACACACACACACACACACATACACATTTACATGGTGGGTTGTGAAACTTGTTTTTTCCTTAGATCACAGATAAAATATTTAAAAGCTATTGATCTAACTCAGCGAAACATTGTATGATAAATGAGCACTTTGTAGAAATCCCTAGCAAGTCATTCATACGTAGATATAGATATATAGATATTTTCAAATGTTTAGTGAATTAAATATTTTATCTATAGACAAGTTCAAGAGGGAAAGAAATAAAAAGAAATTTACAATGCCTGCTAAATCTGTTTTCATGCATTCAAAGACTATTATGTGAAAGAAAGGACCCAATGGCAGAAGTTTTAGAGAGACGGCTCTTTTCCTTGCAAGAACGTCCGAGCAGTTAATCTGCCAGCTGGGCCTGACAACATGGACGTATGCACCCTGCCCAGACGTAACAAGTCTGAAAGGAAACCACTGTTTCTTCACTCCTTCAGCATGACAGAGATGTCCTGCCCATCTCTGTCACTGCCTTAAACATGTCACTGTCCATCTACTAAACTGGTCTATAAATGTCAGGAGTCTACCATCTCCCCTTTCTCCTCTTCTGCCACTGCCTATGTGTCATGATTTGCCAAGTCTTGGCTATTTTATTTTATTATTAATTTTTATTAAAATATAATTGACTTATAACACCAGGTTAGTTTTAGGTGTCCAACATAGTGCGTCAACATTTCTGTACTTTACCAAGTGATCACCAGGACAAGCCTAGGAACCCTCTCTCACGTGCAAAGTTCTCGTGTCATTATTGACTGTGTTCCTGTGCCACACGCTACATCCTGGTACCTTACGAACAGAGCTCGGAGTTTGCACCTCTCATACCTTTTATCTTTGTGCCCTTCCTTCTGCTGCCCTCCCATCGAATTTACCAGTTTGTTCTTTGTATCTGTGAGCCTGTTTTGTTTTGTTTGTTCATTTGTTTTGATCTTTAGATTTCACATATAAGTGAAATCATATGCTATTTATCTTTTTCTATCTGACTCATTTCATCTAGCATAATACCCTCTAGGTTCATCCAGGTCATTGCAAATGGCAAGATTTAATTCTTTTTTATGACTGAGCAATATCCTATAGATACATATATAAGTATATGTAAACATATATTGAAATGATGAAATATATATATTGTATGCATATCCCACATCTTCATCCATTCATCTATCAATGCACACCTAGTTGGCTGCAGTATCTTGACTATTGTATATAATACTGCAATGAACATTTGGGGTACGTGCATTTTTTCAAATTAGTTTTCATTTCCTTCAGATACATGCCCCACGGTGGAATTGCTGGGTCATAAGGTAGTTGTATTTTTAATTTTTTGAGGTAACTCCATACTGTTTTCCATAGCGGCTGCATTAATTTATGAACCCACCAACAGTGCATGAGAGTTCCTTTTCCCCCACATCCTCAGCAACACCCCTAATTGCCTTTCTGATGACAGCCATTCTGACAGGTGTGAGGTGTTATCTCGTAGTGGTTTGATATGCATTTCCCTAGTGATTTGTGGTGTCAAGCATCTTTTCAAGTGTCTTTTGGCCATCCATATGTCCTTTTGGGGAAATGTCTATTAAGATCTGCTTCCCATGTTTTAATGTTTTTTTTTAATGTTGTGTTGTATGAACTCTATATTTTGGATATTAACCCACTGCATAGGCTGCCTTTTTGTTTTGTTGATGCTTTCCTTTGCTGTGCAGACTTGGCCTGTCATTTCTGTTGGCTTCTTGTGCCCTCGCCCGATCACATGCATGCTTTATCTCTGGCTTTGTTCTCATTCTTCCACATCATCTTTCCCACTGCCACTGATGCATTTTTTCACATGTAGGCAGGGTCATTCAGGTCTTTTAAAACAGCGGTTCCCTGTCTTTTACAGAGTCCATTCCAGACTCTTTAGCATATTGCTCCCGATTGCTTCTTTTCACACCACATCGCTTACATGCGCCTCTCCCACGACATTGTCAGCTGCCCGTCCGAGCACTGACTATCATTTCCTGAGCTCGAGGGTCGGTTTTCTACCGCTGCCCTTCGTTCATACTGTTCCCATTGCAGGGATGCCTTCTGTCTCTTCCCTCTTCCTCCCAGGTGAGGTCTTCATCATTAAATGTCATCTCTTCACCGAAGCCTTCTCTGTGAGCCCTGGGCAACTCCCCCAACAGAGTGTAATAGCTTCTTTGCCTAGTTTGTGGCATCACCAACACCTCTGTTACAGCACTTATCGCGTGACCCAAGAGGTGCCTGTGTGCGACCCAGTGTTGCCGGGACTGGCCTCCCAGTCCTGTGAGGCTTGAGAGATTAGCGATCTCACGTCACCAGCGATGTCACGTCACCGGAGTGGTGCTTCAGAATCTTGGCTCTGAAGTCAGAGGGATCTGGGACTATTTCCAGATGCCACCACTTAGTAATTGTGTAACCAGAGGCAAGTTGCTTTATTTCTCTGGATCACAGTTTTCTCATTAGTAAAATTAGTCTGATAGTGTGACCTGCAGCATTGGCTTGTTGTAAGGATGAATTAAGAGAATCCACGAGAAGTCTTTAAATATCACTCTGACACCTGAGAAGCCACTTACTAGCCATTATTATTGAAATTTCACTTTCCCCACATTAATCCTGTTATGTCACTGAAATCAGGTAATTCCATTGTATTCTATATCAGTTTGCTTTTTTGAGGAAGACGTATCTCACAGGGTCATTTTACAAACCAGATTTTTAAAGAGCTATATGTGTGAAGCTAACCTATAAATTCTGATGATGAGCGTTTTAGCTGACTTTGAGTTATTAGGGATGCTGTGTAGCTGTATTCCTCAAACTTTTCTCCTCACAAGACACTGATGCAAAGGTTACCAATATAAAATTATGTAATTCGAGTTTTTGTTCAAATGATAGCAAAAAACAGTAAATGGATAGATGTTTTAATGTGCCTTTTTTGTTGCTTTTGTTTTTGTTTTGCTTCTAATCACAAGAACTGCTTGTTACTATCCGCCTTGGACAATGAAAAACAGCACATTATTATTCATGGAAACTGGAGAGCAGCCCATTGTGCTAAGGTTGCAGTGTTGCATACCGCTGCTTCTACTATAAAACTAAAGTAATACAGAGCATAGAAATAATATAGCATAACATAATGTGATAGAATGTAGTATACTGCCAGTATATTTCTCTACCAGTAAAGTTGTTTTAGTTCATGTGATGGGATTAAAGATAATCAGTGTTTCATTGTTTTTCAGAGTATTGTGTCCCACTAGATATATGGTACCTGAGTAAATGTAGAAGCACTGAGGTATTCTGTCTGTAACACAGAGGATGCTACATAATACAAACTCTATAGCTTAAGTGTAATTAAAACTTTTTGAAAACAGGCATCTATCTTGTTTACTTCATATTCTCAAATAATAGTGTGATTTATTTCCCTCTAGCCTATGATGGTAATGTATAACCTGAAGAAAAATCACTGTTGTACTTAAGGTTTGATGTTTTGCTTTAAGGTTGATTAATCATACAAAGAAACTAATGGAGAAAGAAGAAAAACTGTGCATTAAAATTCTTCAGACTTTACGAGAAATGCTAGAGAAGAAAGACAGCTTTGTGGAAGAGGTATTTTTAAAAATTTTTTAGTATTTGAAAGTAAAGTTGAATTTCTAGAATACCATAACCAATGAATTACAAAGGGTTATTATATAATTACTGGGATTACACATTAATGCCATATGTACTTAGATGCATTTGTTAATTTGAGTTTTTATGGTATTTATCTCTCATGTCTGCTTTCAGTTAAGACACAATGAAGGTTGAAGGCTCAGGTGTTGATTTATTTGTTTTTATTATATTTCATCTTGAATATGTATATTTTTCTCATATAGCTTCCATGAACCGAGCAACCTTTTTTAACAGTGAGCAGCTGAGATGCATCATTAAAATTGTGTATAAAGTTCTGCTATGTAATGAAATGTTCTATGCATTTTGGCATGTTTATTTTTATTGTAAATATATGTTCATGTCATTTTCTATAATATTTTGCCAATTATTACAAAATACTTTTTAAAAATAAATGGGATAGTAACTTTCTATTCTTAACTACATTTAAATATTGCACAAATGACTTTTAGGGAACATCAGCTTAAAGATAATAATTGTCAGTGTGTTATTAAAAATGACAGATCAGGTGCTTATTAAGAGATAGCTAGCAATGTGTTTAATACCCAAGGTTATACACTTAAATATAAAATATAAATCTAGCATAGGGTTTTTTTAGCTATCTACTTTCACTTTTATGTTTGGTTTCAAACAAAATTTGTTCCATGCTCCTTAATAACTTTTTGATCAGTTTCTATAAATACTAATTTTTGATGTGTTAAAATTGAAAGGATTTTATCGATTAATTTATGTATATGCTATCAGATTCCAATGAGATTGTGGTTGTAGGTTTTTCTTTTTTTAAAATGAATGTTTCTTGTAGGAAAGAACTCCAATAGAATTTTGAATATTAATAGAAGGCGTATAGCTTTAAAATACTCTGAACCACATGCTTGATTCAATAGTCAAACTGACTTTTGCTTTACACTAGTTCTCTTTATCACTTAAATTATGTTTGGAAAACAATCAAAAGAGACAGTCACTGCAATTTTAGCAAATGTTGCTGTGATACAGAACTCAGGGAAAAGTTTATGTTTGTGTGTGTGGTATGTTTTTTAAAAAATGACAGTTCCTTGGGACATTTTGTTGTCTTTCTCTGATTCCTGAAAGTATTGCTGTAGGTAGTTTATTTCTGACTATAGTGCTAGATCCTAAAATAGAAATATGGGGTCAATATAAATTTTGACAGAAATGTTAGGTTTGTAATAACAGTTAACTTGTGCTTAACAGGAGGGAAATGATTTACCTTTCAATATTATGTAACAAATTATTATTGAATTACTCTAAAGAAAAACAGGAAAGATAGCAGGTACGATTTTACTTTGACTAGGCAAGAGTATTTTAGCACATTTCCTTTACCACCCTAAAATAAATTATATTGGCATCAGTTTCTCCCTCCCACCCCTCCCCCGATGATAGCTGGGCTTTCATTATCTCTAGTCTACAAAACTCCAGTAGTCTGGTTCCCTAAAACCTTCCTGATGGGAGGCAGGGCTGCTGTTCTCGTAACTCCAAGGGGTGCCATTTGCATGTGCTAAAATTGGGATGTCACCACTGAGACAAAGCCTTTAGACAAAAGTGAGGATGAGAAGGGCTAGTTGGGGTGATTCCTTCAGTCATCTAACATGTATATTGTGAGCAAGTAACTGTTAATTGTCGGCTATTGTTCCTGGGCACCCGGAGGTACAGCCATGGATAACACCGTGCCTGGCCCTTGCTAAGGGCCGCCATAGGGTACAGTTCTCATGCCAGTGAACTCTTTTGTTTTAAAGATTTTATTTATTTTTTTAGAGATAAGGGTAGGGAGGGAGAAAGAGAGAGTGAAACATCCATCAGCGGGTTGCCTCTTGCATGCCCCCAGCTGGGAACTTGGCCTGCAACCCAGACATGTGCCCCAACCGGTCATAGCACCAACGATCTTTCAGTTTGCAGGCCAGTACTCAGCCCACTGAGCCACTCCAGCCAGGGCCCAGTGAGCTCCTCCAGGAGTCTGCAGACATCATGAGAGCATTTCGGACGCCTTCAGGGACTCTGCGCTGTCTTGGTGTTCCAGGCCCTCCATTAGATCTCCTATGCTTTCTGCCCCCACCCTTCCTCATCTGTTAGCGTCCAGAAATCTGTGTTACTCAGTGTGCCTGAGAAGCCCCTCAGGCTTTTCTTGCACAGAACCTTGCTGCCTCTGGAATCATGAGTTGCTAAAATCCAAACCAGCCTTATACCCCCAGTGTTATCTTGTGGCATAGCTAATGGATAGTGCTTACCAAGTGTTCCATCCAGCGGTGATTACTTTTTCGTTAGAATTACCGAAAGACTTTGTGTCTCTCTTTTATGACCCTTCGGGCTCTTTACAAGTATTTAGTCCCATCTTCTTCTTTTATAAATGACGTCATTCAGACCCAGAGAAGTTACGTGATTTCCCCAAAGTCACCTAGCAAGTGCCAGAACGGGGTTTAAATTGGAACTCTTTCTTCAAGGCCTAATCTTATTTATTAGATCATAGCCAACTTTTAAAAATATTGTATCACTATTAATAAAGATTAATATATTTTGTACAGCATGATCTTGGCTCCAACTTTTAAGTCATAGGCAGACAGAATATAAGATAGATTATAACGTCCAAAATGGATACAGGCTTAGAAAACATCCAAGAAAATATTAAATAATGTGGAAATGTCGTCATTATTTAACTAAGAAAAGAAGAACCTGATAGAGACTTATAAACATCATTCCTTAGTTTCCATGTCTCCTAAAGACAGAATAAGAAAAAAATCTATTGCTGAAAGAATTCTAGATTTTGGATAGCTTTTTCATTCTAAGTTTGGAATTAGATTTGAAGTGAGAAGCACTTCTACCAGTGGAAGTAGAAGACTTTTCTTTTCCCAGGAAATTTAAAGGAATGCATATTAGGTCTAGAGTGATTCAGATACGGACACTGGGAAAGAGTCAGGACTGGGTTATCTCTACGTGTTGTCACTTAGCCCTGCTTAAACAGCTGCTGCTCCGTTGCCCATGACAGTGGAGGGCAAGCCATCAAAAGACGCACCCATCTGGGTGACACGCCCCTGAGTAACCGATTCTGAAATTGGCCAAAGTTATTATCGTACAGCCCATGTGCTCTCAGAAGGAACCCTGATTACCAGTAGTGGGATGATGGCTGGCTGCGTTCTCAGGATTGTATTAGTTTCCTACTTCTCAAAACATTAGTGGTTTAAAATCACACAAATTTATTATGCATAGTTTCAGAGGTCCAAAAGCTAAAATCAAGGTGTTGGCAGGGGTGCGTTCTTTCCTGACACTTTAGAGGAGAATCTATTTCTTTGCCTTTTCTAGCTTCTAGAAGCTGCCTGCATCCCCCGCTTTGTGACTCCATCTTCCATGTGCAAAGCCAGCAGAACATAGCCCCGCTCTGTCCCCTGCCCACACTGTCACTTCTCTTTCTCTTACTCTGACCCTCCTGCATCCCTCTTACAAGGACACTGTGATTACATTGGACCCACCAGGATAATCCAAGATAATCTCCCCATTTCAAGATCCTTAACTTAATCACCCACAAAGTCCCTTTGCCATGTAAGGTGACACATTACAGGTTCTGGTGGTTAGGGCATAGATGTCTTTCAGAAGGCTATTATCCCATCTGTCACTATGCTCCTTTTACTGACAGTGAGAAATGACGGGTAGAATGTAGAGAGCTTACCTGTGGCTGATTAGAATTACTGTGTAGGGCAGCAGGACAGTTTAAGCATGAATGAATCCTTTAAAATGCTTTAAATTTATATCACTTAGCGGTTTTCAAATTATTTTAAAATATTTTGCTACCTTTCAACAGCAATTCCAGGAAGTATGTGTCATGGGCCGCGCACTGCATTCCATCACTCAGGTCACCCCGTGCCTGGCTGTCTAGTGCCCCATCAGCTGGGTTTCTGCTGTTTGTGTGTTGGAGCGCTCCCAAGAGACCTTGGAGAGTTAAACCAAAACAAAGAACGCAGACCAGGGTTTTTCACATTAGCTGTCCTAATATTGCATGTAAGACTTGGTCTATTTAAATTTAAAATGTCACCTGCGAAGAAAATCCCTATTTTCGGTTCTGTTTCTTTGTTCTCCAGTACCAGAAGTAGCGTATGTGTAGCTGCTAACGTTTGGAAGTAGAGCAAGGAAGCATGGCTTCCTGGTGGAGCCTGGTGCCCTTGAAAGCAGTCCCTTCCTGCCTTTGACGGTTCAGGTTCCTGAGGTCACTAGCCTTCTCTGTAGGAGATGTTGAGGAAAGCCAGCCTTTAACTACATTTTATATGATAGTTATCTTACAAACATTTATAATTTACTATACTTTGGATTACAATTTCTAAATTAATTTTAATCTTCTTTCTTGTTTCACACTCCTACGTTTGTGCCAAAGGTTGAGAGATGCATTATCTTGAAGATTCTCAACAGTGTACTAATACGAGTGAAGGAAAATGTAATTTTCTGTTACACGTATTTATATGTGAGGTCATCTAGTAATCACATAGGTATTGCGTGTTATAGTATGTTAAAGTATTTATTTATATTGAAGGATGAAACATGAAAATTATCCACGGTCTCTAAGGGGGAAAGTTACTTGAGTTTTATAAAAATTCCATGTAGGTATTCTTTGTTTAGTCAATTCCGATAGAAAAGCAAAAAATTACAAAGAACGTAACTCTTAACAAACTTGAGAGCTCAGTATTCCTCTGGGATTGGTGGTATTTGAAAGGCTTTTAAAAGATAACAACAGCAGGCATATTTATTTGCACCTAAAAATATGTATATTGGGAAATCTGAGGAGGGAAAGAGAAGGAATGTTTTAAAATGGTTTTAGGGCAGTGTGATTTCTAATGTTCTCAACCCTTAAAGCCGTTCTGTTCTGCTCCTGTGTCCCTGACCTCTCTGCCACGGAAAAGGAGACACCTGTTGAAAAGAGGAGCTTCACGAGAGCACCGTGCCTT